GTAACCAAAGGCAACATGGCCGTACTCTGGCAGGTGGTGCTGTGCTGATGTCATAACACCAGTTGCCCTTCTCTGAGTGACGGCTTTGGAGTTGGCTGAGTTACAGTCTGTGCAGAGATGGAATGCAAAAATAAACATTAATGTAGTATATGAAAAAAGTATGTCAAGCTACATTAAACACACACACACACACACACACACACACACACACACACACACACAATCCTGCTGATGCAACACATTTTCACACGCTGATTAAGACTTTCTAAAAACAAATGAAAGGTTACAGTCACAAAATAATGAGCTGTGATCACTTTGACACCATAAAATGTTTCATTTAATAAATAAATATTTTAAACAATACTTGCAGTTGATCAAACTTCCACCTGAAGCTCTGAGTCGAATGTATGAGGGATTGAAAACGATGTATGAGGGATTGAAAACGCTCACATGAATCTGATCAAATTGTTTTATTCACTTGTCTCAAAGTAAAAACCAGATGTTTTTGCTAACTTAAAGAATGTGAACTTATTCCATATGTAGCTCCTCTGTATTTAGTGCTTTTATTTTTTTAATGAAACTTTTCTCAATTACTAATGGCTCAATTTGGCTCAGCTTGAGTCCCACTGTGAGAAAATCTGTCTTAAAATTGTTGCTCGTTAAATTCTCTCAGGGCAAATGAGAAACATAATCCGATAGATTCCTCTGCTTCCCACGCTACTAAAAACCTGTTTATTAAAGATTTATAAAGATGTCCTGCAGCCGTTAGTTAGTTAGTAGGAAAGACTAATACGCCACATTTGGGTTTATATTTAAATGATTATGTCAGAAAATAAAAGATCCCCACATTTACACAGGTGCAACGGCAGATAATCATGACACAACTCACATCCTGTCCAGTGTCCTGCTAAATGACATCATTTCCTGCCTTTCCTGTGGTGAGCACATCAGAAGCTAACACAGACCCTCCTGCTGCCACGAGGACACCCTTCAACACTTTTGATCTGCGTTGTTTCCTGTTTAGATTCAGTTTACTGACACAACTAACCATCCTTGAGACGTTTCTGTGTGGAATTTCAAAAATGTCCTCCTCCTCCTTTCTACCGTGTACCAGGTCCACACACACACACACACAATCTCTCTCTCTCACACACACTTTTTCTTTTCAAAAATCAACATCGGTCAATGGAACAATGGCGAGTCCATACTGGTTGTCATGACAACAGCAACATCACCTTTGACCTCTGTTTTAAACAGAGGCACCCTGTTACTTAAAGAGAAACCTGCTGTGGCTTCAAGAGGACACCCATAAAACCACTCACAATGTTGGCCATCCAATATTCTGAGACAATAAATCACAGAGCGTGTGTGTGTGTGTGTGTGTGTGTGTGTGTGTGTGTGTGTGTGTGTGTGTGTGTGTGTGTGTGTGTGTGTGCTTGTCTTCATATGTGTTGGTGGACACATTTTGACTAATCTGTAAGATGTGGACATTTCCTCACTGTGGGGACATTAACTGGTCCACACAATGCTAAGCACCCTAAAAAATGGTTTTATAGGTTTGGTGTGTGAATTAACTTTTAGTTTAGGTTAGGAAGAGAGTTAATGTTGAACCAAAAACTATCACCTAGAAAAATGCCACAGAGACCTGCTGCTGTAATAGAACAAGCCTAAAATAACGTTTAACAGTTAAAAGATTCCTAGGTTATTTATTCTGTGTTGTTTGTACAGCCTGTGTTTTATGGAGGGCCAAAAGTGACACATAGCAATACATAAACAAAGTATTAAGTTTTATTGTGAAGTCAGTTGGTAAAATCTACAATAAATTCAGATTATTAACTATAATTTATTGCATTTGTACTGATATTTCATATGACTCAGCCTATTGTTTCCTCTGTTGTTCACGTGTGTGTGTGTGTGTGTGTGTGTGTGTGTGTGTGTGTGTGTGTGTGTGTGTGTGTGTG